ATCTATTTTTCCTTTAAAATACAGAACTATGTTATGTTCACTACCTTGTACATAATTAAAGTTTAATCCTATTTATTGAATAGGGGAAGGAATAACATGTCCTCATAATATAATAGCTTTGTGGTATGGGCAGGAAGGGCCCTGCCAAACAGTGGTTTGAAGTTCTCTATCAGGATATTTAGCTTTGGGATCATTTTAATTTAAATAAGTGAAGAAAACTAAATAGAAGAAAATCTCCAAACTTGAGGACAGATCTTGGAAATAACCCAATTGGATTTTAAAAAAGAATAAAGATTCACATGTACCCTTGTAAGATGAATCTTTCTAAATGTAGAACATAACTGTCTTAACACAATAACTAAGAAAATGCCATGAAGGCTATGTTAACCAGTTTGATGAAAATATTTCAAATTGTATACAAAACCAGCACACTGTACCCCATGACTGCATTAATGTTACACAGCAATGATTTAATTAAAAAAAAAAAAGAATTCTAGAAGAAGTTGGAAAAACTCTTATAGATGTAGGCAAAGAATTTATGAAGAAGACCCCAAAAACAATCACAGCAACAACAAAAATAAATAAATACACACATACATAAAGGCATAAATAAATGGAATCTGATAAAAAAAAGAACAAAGAATAAAAAAGAATGGAAGAATGTTTACATGCCATTGGAATACCAAAGCAACCAAATATCAGGATTTTGGGATTCCAGAGGAAGAGGTGGGCAAAATCATAGAGAATCCATTAAATGAAAAAAATCTAAAATTTCCTCAGTCTTACAAGATATATAGACGTCTAGACAGAGAAATCTCAAAAACTCCTAACAGATTTAATTACAAAGGTTTTCTCTAAGGTACATTATAGTCAGACAATCAAATGTCAATGGCAAAGAGAGAATTCTGAAAACAGCAAGAGAAAAACGTCATCCCATATAAGGAAATCTGCATCAGAGTAACAGCAAGTATCACACCAGAAACCTTCACAGGTTAAAAGAGCTTGAGGTGACATTCAGAGTACTGAAAGGAGGGCCACCCCCCGCCCGCCCCCCCCGCCCCCCCCGCCCCAAACAACTAGGCAATACTGTATTCAGCAAAGTTGTCCTTCAAAACTGAAGGGGAAGTAAAGTGTTTCTGAGAGGAGCAAAAGCTGAGGGAATTCATCGCCATTAGACTAATCCTGCTAGAAAAGCTTAACAGGGTCTGGTTGGCACCTGTGGCTCAAAGGAGTAGGGTGCCAGCCCCATATATGGGAGGTGGCAGGTTCAAACCTGGCCCTGGCCAAAAAACAAACAAACAAACAAAAGAACTGGAAAAAAAAAAAAAGAAAAGAAAAAGAAAAGCTTAACCAGCCCTACATCTGGAAGCAAATGGATGGTATGGATGGTATTTACCATCATGAAAATACCTCAAATAGGGCTGAGCCTGTGGCTCAAAGGAGTAGGGTGCTGGCCCCATACGCTGGAGGTGGTGGGTTCAAACCCAGCCCTGGCCTAAAGCTGCAGAAAAAAGAAAGAAAGAAAAAGAAAATATCCGAAATAATAAAATGCACCAGAAGAGGAGACCCAGGAACGAGAAAGAAGTCAAACATTCTCTGTACACCAGCCCATCAAATCGTAAAGCTGCAGAGCAAAAGTGAACGAAGGGAACAAAGGATACAGAAAATAATCAGAGAACAATTACTAACAAAAGACAGGAACAAGTCCTCGCCTGTCAATAACAACCTTGAATGTAAATGTGTAAGTTTACCAATTAAAAGATATAGACTGGATGGATACAAAAGACCCAACTGTAAGCTGCTTGGAAGAAATTCGCTTCACTTGTAAGGACACCCATAGATTTAAAGTGAAGTGATGAGGGAAAAATGCTCCAAACAAACAAACAGAAAAACAAACCAAAAGCATGAAGGAGTAGCTGTGCTTCTATCAGACACAATAGACTTTAAGTTAAAAACACATCAAAAGAGACAAAAGAAGGGTTTTATAAAGTGATTAAAGGATCAGTTCTGGAAGAGGAGCTTTCAAATGTAAATATATGTACACCCAGCACCACAGCACCCATATATATATATATATATATAGCAAATATTGTATCTAATGAGATATACCCCTAATACAGTAACAGTTTGGGACTTCATCACCCCACTTTCAACATTGGACAGATTACTTAGACATAAAACAACACAGCAACCAGTCTATCCTGCACTATAGGCCTAATAGACATTTATAGAACATTTGATCCAGTAGCTGCAGGATACGACTGAAAAGATGTGGAATGAAACCGAGGGCCCATTAATTCATGGCTGGGCTAACTAATTGTGGTATATGTGTGCTGAAATAAAATATCAGCATAAAACCATAGAAGTGCCATTCTCATCACACGATATCAAGGGCACTACATTTTGTGTGTGTGCACATAAGATAATATAAATAATTATAATGTATGTACTGTGTTTCACTTAAATACCTTCCCTGTCACTAACAATGGCGTATGAAAAAATCTGCAAGTTTACTTTTAAATTTTAATGGAGCTTTCTATCTCCATGTCTCTCCTCAAATGATGGATTCCTTGGTTTCAGTTCCTATCATTGTGGAACACAGTGCAATTTGTTTACATTGTAAAAGTGGTAGAATTTGCTACCACCGGAAGAATTTGCTTCATAGACTCTGGCATTACACCTTGAGGGCTCTAGGTTGGGGTGACCTTATGACCTGGTTTCTTTCTGATGAAAAGAACTTTAATGAGGTTTGAAATATGGTTGAATATTATCAGCATGTTCTTAATACAGCCCAGTCTGGAAACAACCCAGATGTCCACCAACATTACCAACGTTACAATGGATAAATGGTGATAGAGGAACATGGTATTACATGTAGCAATGAGAATAAACAAAATTACAGCTAAATGCAATAGCATATGTCATTATAGTAAATAAAAGGTAACTCAGTAAAGCATCTATGGTAGAGTTCCACCTGTGTAAAGTTCAAAGACAAACAAGACCAAACAATATTGTTTAGATATACACACCTAAGTGGTAAAATTTGAAAGAATGGAAAAGAAATTGGGGAGTGGGAAAGTTTAGCATAGGAAGGAAAACAGAAATAGCAATGTTCCTTTGCTTGACTTCACGGTTAGTCTGTGGATTTAGACTTGACAGTAACTCATTAAATTATACTTTCAACTTTATGAGGTTTCCTGGTTACGCATTCTATTTCCTAATGAAAACAGTGTTAGAAGAAGAGAAAGAGAAGTACCAGGAAGGAAAAAAGAGAGAGAAAGGGAAGGGTGAGGAGGAGCAGAGGGAGGGGAGAAAAGCCGCAGTAAGTTAAATCCCAAGTTCCAGGTGACCAGCCTTTTCCTCTAACTGCACACTGTCCTGTCAGTTCCGAATGCCCTTCAGGAAACCCCTCCACCTCCCTCAGTTCATCACAGTCTTCACTGGGCTACGGTCCTGCTCTTGGTTCTCTCTGGCCGCTTTCTCAGTTAACAAAAAGCCATGGCCCAATATGTGCTGAAATGAGCACCCAAGGACCAGGGAAATGGCTGGGATATCACAGGATGAGCAAAGTCATTAACTTCGTTTAATCCTATAGACAGCACTCTCACAAGTTTGATAAGAACCTCGACTGTGGCTTTGTTTTCAGGAGTATTGCCCATGAATCCTGTCAAGGCTGAACAGTGCTAATAATACAATTATCGATGTTATGGTCACATGACTGTTCTCAACGTCAGCAGGAGAAACATTACCTATGATTACATATGGATACTACATGGACATTTCTGAAATAAAATGTCAGACAAATCCAATTGAGGAATATTCTACAAATGCCTGACCACTACTCTTCAAAACTGTCAACATCATCCAATACAAAGCCTGAGAAACTGTTACAGCTACCTAGCCTATGGAGACGTGATAACTAAATGTAATACAGTATTCTGAATGCGATCTTTGAAAAGAGAAAGGGCATCAATGGAAAACTAAGGAAATTTGGATGAAGTAAGGAGTTTCATTAATTATAACAAATTACTAATGTAAGATGTTAGTAATTGGGGAGACTGGGTGTGAGTTACATGCGACCTCTCTGTACTAGCTTCACAATTTTTCTGTAAATCCAAACCTTTTCTAAAATAAGTTTACTTCTGACAATGCTGGTATTAGCCTTACGCCTCTCTTGATATTCTATATGCATGAGTTTTGCAGGGTGCGTATTGAGGAGCGGAATTTCTATAGTATGTAGGTTTCTCAAACTTTAGTAGAAAAGGATAAATATTTTTCAAAGTGGTTTTTACCAATTAATATTTATACCAAAAGGGTCGGAAAGTGACTGTTTCTCAATTCTCAATGTCATGTGTCATCATCAGGCTTAAATACTGAGCAATCACGTGGATGTGTAGTGTCAGTAATTGTGGTTTGATTTTGGTTTCCCTGCTTAGTAATGAGGTTGAGCACCATTGCAGGTGTTTAGATTTCCTCTTTTGTGACGTGTCTGTGTAAATCTTACGGGAGGTCTTTTGCATACAGGTTCTTTGTTCCACGTCAAATTCCTCTCCCCTTCTGTGGCTTGCCTTTCCCGCTTCTTTGGGATCTTTTGATGACCAAAATACTTTGAATACAGTCTGATTTAGTTAAGTTCTAGAATGAAGTCAGAGAAAGTCTAGCTATGTTTGCTTCTGGGAGGCATCTGGACATGCTTTGGGTCTAGTACCAACCTAGTTCAAGGCTTGAATTTCTTTGGAGGATTCCAATGACAGTCAGGGCTGCAGATCCATTCTATTTCACCCGGACCCTGACTGTAGGTTGGAATTCCAAAAAGAATCTATATTTGCTTCTAACAGAATGCTCCACCCTTTGCCAGCTTGGAACTTTGATCCCAGTCACCCTCCTCTAGTAAGGCCATGAAAATAAAAGTTTGTATTTGCAGGAATTTTGAAATTTTTCAGAATTGGCAAATGCAATTGCTATGGCTTGAGTGTTTTGTCTCCTTCAAAATTCATGTTGAAGTTTAATTTCCAGTGCAAAAGGATTAAGAGGTATGGCCTTCAGGAGGTGCTCAGTCAAGGGCTTTGCCTCCATCGAGGGGATTCGGTGCCCTCCTAAAAGGCTTGACAGCGGGAGTAATCCTCTTTTCTCTTCTAACCCATCTGCCATGTCAACGGAGCAATAAGGTTCCATCTTTGAAGCAGAGAACAGCCCACAGCAGACGTCAAATCTTCAGGCACCTTCATCTTGAACTTCCCAGCCTCCAAAACTATAAGAAATAAAATTTATTACACATTACCCAGTTTCAGGTATTAGTTATAGCAGCACAAAGGGATTTATGGAAAGGTATTTTCCTTGCTAGATAACCTCTGTGGATTCCAGGTTTTCCTTAAGTATTGACCTGATAATTCTTTATTATCAGGTCAATTCTTTGATGCTCTTAAATAGACTTATTTTTTAAAAACTATCTAGCATTTTTTTAAGATTTATTTTTTATCCAGTGTGAGCCTGGTGTGGTGGCTTAGGCCTATAATCCCAACACTTTGGAAAGCCTATTGGTGGATGAGTTGAAGCCAGGAGCTTAATA